GCGCTCATCTAATCGTGCAGACGATGCTTCTATTTCGTGTGATCGACGCAAACACTGTTCTACAAGGCTTGACAAATACAGGTATTCAGTTTTGTCAAATTTTGATTAGGTAGCATTAACGCATCACTACATTCATATATCTAAACCAAATGCTGTTTGTAATTTTCAATTCTTTCTAAGTTATTAAGTCAATGTTAATAGATCCACAGACAACTCCAATTATTTAGATTTACTGCATATGCCCATACAGTAGATCAATAAAGTTTTATATATGTTTATTTTATTTCAACAATACTGTAGAGATATTATGGCAAAATGCTAAAATCGATTCCTTCTGTGACCTTGACTTAGGGACCTGAATAATGAACTATACCAGCTTACTTTTAAATGCTGGCGTGGCATGTGCAAAAAAATTACAGACGAGGCACGAACTAGCTCTAACAGGGATCCAGACTATGAAAAATAAATACACCAAGTTCAATCCTAGCTTAAGGTCTTCAGCGTACCCGTTTATATACTATGACATGACGTGTTTAATGCCGCATCAGATGAAAAACAAAAATGTTAAAGGGAGACACAGGCAAAATTTTCATTTCTTAGTTTTGAAATTTTCATTCATTATTCTGTAAATGTGCTCAAAATGAATACACTAAACAGTCAAAGGAACAAAACTTTTCTCCATATAAAGAATAAAATGGTGTTTTCCTAACTTGACCCGCGTGGGTCAGGTTAGAGCGCTAAAATTTCACAATAGTTGTCACTCTGTACTCTGGAAACGTTAAAAAACATGTCAAATCAATTACTTAGACTTGTTTCAATCATACAATATCCACAATATTTGTTATTGTAACTTCCAGGGTTTGTTCAAATCGCATGACTTGTTTTTAAACTATTTGGTGATTCTGTTCGCGTCAAAATTTCGTTCAACATATATAGATATATTTAAACTTCAAACCCAAAATATATAGAATTTATACAGAAATTCATGTTGGGACTTTTAAGCATTTTAGGGTGATTTGAGTACAGAAAATCATTTTTATATTTTTGCCATTATTTTGCCTGAGTATCCCTTTAAATAGCGGCTTATAAAGTTTTGGAAGCCAGAACTAGTTCAATCCCTAAGTCTTGTGTAAGGGTGTAACGGTTTACCGGTATACCGATATATTGCAATATGAAAAAATAAATTTCGAACCGCGGTACGATTTTTGGAAAACCGGTATTTTATAAAAATCATCATTTTCAATTAATTGCCTTCTAATTTTGTACAAATTTCACATAAAATCTTTAATTGGCAAATTTTGTTGGCGCCAACGTAAGATAAAAGTATCCGACCACTAGTACATTTAAAAGTCAATAAGCGACCGCATAATTTACATAAGCGGCCCAGATGTGAAAGGTCACACGCGACTAGTTTTGTTTATCAAATTGTGTGACACTACTTTCTATTTATTCCTTACATTTTTATCTATCAAGTTTCTACTAAAAATATATACATATAATAATAATATATAAATGTTACTCCATCTTTACATCAAAACATATACACGACAATACGTATTGCAATATATTGCAATACGCTTCAGCAAAATGGCAATATATATTTCAATACGGTTTTTGCTGTATTGTTACACCCCTAGTCTTGTGTGCAACACATCAACTTCTTACAGTCATCAAGTGTACCAATTCATTTTGAAATCCAATTTTGCATAAATTATGGACCAAACAGGACTTCTGACACCAAGTTAAGGCCACTTATGACCTTGACCTTTGAGCTAGTGACCTGGGTCAATGCAAAACATTGACTAAATAAGATGGTCATCTGTACCAGTTTACTTTGAACTCCCATATTCCAACAGCATGTATTGTAAAAGTTATGAAAGTATATAATTTTTTTAATACACATGCAAGCACTAGTTTGATTTTGTAATGACCACCCTTAAGTTTATAATGCTTGTTTATAGTTTAGTTCCTTAATTGTCATTAATCCCTCATTGACACTTCTCACACATATGGAGGCTGATAACAGTAAGTGCATTGCTTCGTCTTTTAATTATCTAACTTTACAATACCTAATAGCAGAATGCTTTTTCTGAGAATAACTCGAAAGTATCAACTTGAAAGGAATTTTATTAAAACTTCACACAGTGAGAGAGACCAGTGTGAGGAAATGCAGTGTTCAGTACCAAAATTCTACTACTGCCTATATTTAATGACTCGTGTTCTTCACATTGATAAATGTGAAGGGTTGGGGGAAGTCATTTTTTATTAGCATCCAGCTTATGATAAATGTGAAGAGTTGGGGGAAGTCATTTTTTATAAGCTAAAGCATCCAGCTTTTTGTTACTTAAAGGCCCATTATACCTCAGAAATGTTATCAATTTTATTTCTCAAAAACTTTTTTATTTTTTTTATATTACACCTTTCAAAAAAAAAAACGTTTGCCTCGTGTATGACCTTTTTTGCTGCTTTTGTTCTGTGGACAATGGGTAAAATTATAGTGAATTAGTATTTTGTATGGAAGTCAAAATACTACTTTGTTTACATTTTGCTGCCTTAACAACACATTACTGCACGTTCATCCCTACTTTCTTCAGTTGATTAACATCTTACAGAGGGGCGTCCTTGACCAAGTGGTTAAGGTTGTTTACTTCAAATCACTTGCCCCTCACCGCTGAGGGTTTGAATCCCAACAGGGACTTTGGATTCTTTCATGTGAGGAAGTAATCCAGCTACGGAACATCGGTGGTTCTACTCGTGTACCCGTTTGTGCCTGAAAAATGCATAAAGGGGCACCTGAGGATTACTTCCACCAGTAAAGCTGTAACGCCGCCATATGACCTATACTGTGTCGGTGTGACGCAAAACCCAATCAAGCAAACATCATCTAAAGTTCTCTATAATCTATTAAGTGTTAACAAAGCATTTGAAACAAATGTATGACATTTCTAAAGAATTAAAAGATATAGATTTCTGAGGCATAATGTGCCTTTAACTAAGGGAAGATTATTTATTTTATGCACCCTCATATTTATAATAACAAGACTTGGCATTCTTGATAAAAAAAAGATAACTCTGTTAGGCATAATTAAGAATGTCTTACACTGATTGGCCTCCCTTGAACTAATCTAAATTAAGTTTTACTGACTTTTACAAATGTCTTAGTAGAAAAGGAATAGTAATTGTTTCCTGCTGCAGTATATTCAGTACGTCAGCCAATTTAGTATAGTATTGAGTACTTACACAACTTGTTTCACTGTTCAGAATAATTTGATAGTTGATACTATGTCTGACACTATTTCTTTTAACAAACTGTTTTGGAATCTTTTTATTGAATCAAAGACTTCCTCAAACAATGGCTTTCACAACTTGTATTTGCATATTAACTTCTTGCCTATATTATTATAATAAGGGTCTTCTAGGCTTAACCCCTGCAGACTTGAGTTGGTGATTTGAATTCCCAGTGCCTCAAATTAGGAGTGGTCAGTAAGAAGTTTAAGGAATTTCAGTATCAGAACAAATAGCTAGAGTTTAGATATTAAGCATGAAACATCTTCTAGTAAGTGTCTACAAAGTTTGTTCAAATAAAAGCCCTAGGGTCAAAACTGGCCCGGCCCCAGGCGTGTCATTGTTTTTAACTATATAAGTTTAAGGAATTTCAGTATCAGAACATTGAAATAAAATTACCAAATGTGTAGAGTTTGATGACTGCAAGAAATAATGATATCTGAGAGAATGATTTTTTACCCTCGCGCATACTAAGTATAGATATTATGAAAATTGTTAAAAAAGCTTTGGCTATATAACATCTGCTATACATGTATACATTACCCTTACATTAAATTTTGTAATCTTTAATTAGGCTATATGTTATTTGATTGTTTTAAGTTTTATGTATCAAAATATATCTTTAGGTTTATTTATATTATACTACTCTTGATGCATTCATATACTAATACATGTATCATTTATCTCCCTTTAGTTACCAATAGCTAGATACATAAACATGTACAACCTTGACACGGAGTCAAAAAAATTAAATTGATTGGCAGAAATCTGAAATCAATCAATCATACAATTAATAAATGATTCAGTAACAAATGCAGTCAATTATTTAGTCAATTAAACAGTAAAATAATCAATTGCTCAATGCTTTTTAAAATCAGTGGCATTTATGCTCCTCTAAACAGCTTGATTCAATGTTGACTTCTACTTTAAATTTTTTTTTTTTTTTAATTTGATTTTTTTTTAATTTAAAATAAGTAAACCAGTTTATATACACAGTGGAGAGGTTGTGTAATGACCTTGCTTTGCTTTTTCATTGATTTTGCAGTCATCTGTATGATATCATGAGGGTTATTATTGGCCAAGTGTTTAATATCTCTTGCCCCTCACTGCTGTGGGAATTGTTTTTTGGGCCCCCTAGGATTCAATAATTGGAGTAAGGAATGAGATAATCTTTTAAACTTGGTATATAAAAAGCTTATGAGGACACCTTGCTTCGAATTGCTTTGGTTTAAATTGATTCAAGGGACTGTGGATTCTTTCATGTTAGGAAGCTAGCTGATAGAAGGTTCTTGGTTCTACTCTGTTGAAAATCACATTTTGACTTCTACTGTGTTGGTGCAAAGTAAAACCCATCGTCCCCCAACCCCAAACATACAAAATATTAAGATAATATAATCTGGTCAGACTGCACATATGTACAAGCTGGTCTGTTCCTACACAAGTCATTCATGCTGCAGATATTCAGCTTACACAGGGAAGGCTCATACTGTAAAGCTTTATTCAAATCAATTACTCAAATTTAGCTGGGTGAAGTTAAACTTTTGCTGCTGGCCTCTTAGTACAAAGGACTTAATAATTATGGTTTTTAATAAATTTGTAATTATGTACAAATTCAATACATGTTATTTTGTGTGGCTTTGAGTCAAACTGACATTTAAAAGTTCTTTATGGTGACCATACAGCTTTCATGCGCTGTAAGCCTCTCTATGTCATTTCAGGTCTACTTGTGCTGCAATAGGGGGCTACTAAACTTACTGCCTGGTAGGGGTCGATACACACATACTGTAATAACGGGTAAGTGATATAAATTGAGAGACTTTCATTCAGATTACTTATATGCATGAAGTCACATATCAAAATTTGAAAGTTTAAGTATTGTTCTATTTCAGACAAAGCTTAACTTTGATGATTTGCCTTATAAATAAAGACTGCTTCAAAAATGTGCCAGCCAGTGGCGAAAAAAAAAATTAACATCATTCAAAGTCGAGTGGTCAGTGTAATGTGTTTTCATTTACATTTTTTATTTTTCAAAAGAACACCAATAATTCAGCCCAGTGTATTTATAAATACACCAGATTTAAAACCTGTCTGTGTTTGCCTGTTTGTATTGAAAGATTCTGTTTTAATAAGGTTAGGTTCAAATAAATCTTAATCAATATCTGGTACATTTCACACATGTCAGTATTCCTAAATGGGCGAAATGTTAGCTTTTCCCATGATGAATTATTAATCAAGCCAAATTATCTTGGTTTCTTGTGGCTCCTATATGTTGTCAGAGAGTGTCAACTTGTCACACTTTAGAATCCTGAATCATTTTTTCCCATCTCACGCCAGATGCCGAGTGATCAATTCAAAGTTTTTAAAGAGATTTTGTCAACTAATCAATAATATTGATTTGTCAATTACTTTTTAATTGTATTTTCAATATTCACTATTTGGGAATTTCAACATTTTCTCAAGAATTTCCTGTTATTGTTACTTTTTTATCAATTTATTTGAGTTTTTGAATAAAAGAAATATTTGAATGATGATAATTTTAATTGGTAGAATGCGCAGCCTTTTATCTATGAGAAATTATTGTTTTAATTAAAGGGACTCCACTGAGGTCCAAAAGCCTAAAAACAAAATAAATAATACAATAATATAATTTCTTACATAGATAATTTGGGGCACTAAAACAGAAAGATATGCAAAAGATAATCAGGAAATATTGAAAATAATATTTTGCGCTTTTCAAAGCCAGATTGGCGATTTTTCACAAGAAAATTCATTCATGGAAAATAGAGTAAGCTATTTTAATAAGAGAGAGAGTGAGCTAATAAGAAGTTAATACATCAAATGAAACATGAATCTCGGAAAAAAAATTTCAGTCCCATCATATTTCATTATAGTATTTGAAGGTATTAAGACAAACTGAATGGCATTGGATACAATCTAAACCAATTGGTGGGTCATTACGTTAATTAAGATAGATTATCAATTGTCGGATCTCAAGATTGTTGATTTAAATTTTGTTTTGACCTTTTTTAAGAGGCACCCAAATTTTATAATAAAAAGTTTAAACAACTCCTCAAGAACAAGTTGGTGTATCACCAGTTATTGCACATAATATTATTTGATTACAGTTCTCCTCTCGATAAACTATTGTGGTTCCTTCCAGTGATTTCCAGAGCATAAATTTGTTCATCAAGGCCTTATGGTGAATGAGTTGGGGCCATTGCGGGTGTTTTGTTGTTTTAATAGGTGTATTGAATACAGAACGATATTTTTTCAGGTAGCTGATGTTTATGAAGTGTCAGATGCTATCTAAGGGTCCCTGTTATCTTAGATGGGCAATTTTAGTAGTTTCAGGTATGCAATAACAGCTTATATCCCTGGTAATCACTCCTTTATATGGTGTAAAAAATCATCTGATAGTTATAAAAGCAAAATTATCATGCATGCTGAGTTTTATTGTATCGATTATTTCTCTTTCGTTTTTTCCTAAATGTCATTTTCTCGTTTTACATTCAGTCACTTTAAATATTCTATTACAAGCTAATAGAATCATTTAATTTCCATTCGGTATCTCGACCCAGGTGTAACACGTGCGGCACGTGCTCAAGTGATGACTGTTATTACAGAAACATTTGTTTCCCTCAATTATGACACAAATTATAAGAATATATTGGTAATGGATGAGTGACTCTAAATGAGAAGGATTATTCTAACTATTGATTTTCAGCTATGCATCGGTTTTGATGTTGAATAAAATGATTCTGGTCGGAAATGATCGTATTTAATGAAAAATAGGGGGATCATCAAGAAGGAAATGTTCATTTGCTATACATATTGAAACATTGTTTGTTTATTAAGGCTGCTTTATTATTTTAATTTTTAATAATTTTTCATAATTTTCCATTTTATCATGCAAATTTTCAGGTAAAGGTTAACGCCTTGAAATCATGTTGTCCCACTTGTAGGTTGTGCAGGACAGGCCTAGTAGGTTAAAATGTTCTGCCATTTAGTCCAGAGGTTATAGACTCAAGCCATGCTGTCATGACTCAATTAATTTTGACTCGTTGATCTTAGATAAGACTCTTTGTAAATTGTAAATCAAGCTAAAAATTAAAAAGGTTTTAATTGATGAATTAAGTTGATTTTATTAAACAATCGGCTCTCTCAAGACTATTCATTTCAGTTTTTGAAAGATGATTAAGAGAACTATGTTTTATGTAATATCTTTTTAGCTCTGTCTTGGATAGTGCAGGATGTTCAGATACCTGCTGTACAAGTTTGAATTAGTCAGAATATGTTTATATTACAAACAAGGCTGATTTTCTATGCTTTCAATGCAAATTGATTATGGCATGCTGAGAACATCTAGAACAAACAAAATTAAGTTAAGGTTAACAAATAACTTTTAGTCTGTTTTGGTGAAATAGATGAGCTGTTATGATTGCTGCATCATTGTTGTCGTCATGCAAAAACTTTAATGTAGCATATCGTTCAAACATTTTTTAAAAGTTATTAACATGAAGCTTGGAATTTTTGCTTATCATGACAAGGTGCTGTTGTTAAACAAGTGGCATAATTCTGAAAGCAATATTTATAGAGTTATGACCCTTTTTTAACTTAATTTTTTGGTGCTCTTTTTACAGTTTATTGCTGGATTACAGTCCACCGGTGTGGTTATGTCTATGCCTTCAATACTGCTGATGTTTTCAACTTGGTGGATCTGCTTAAGTAGTGCAAGAATATACTGGAAAAAAGAGGTTGGTTGTTTAACAAAATATTCATAAAGGGTATGAATATGTTTTATTTTGAATGTTTATTTTGGGTACCCGTAAGTTTGTCAGACTTCCTCTTGATGGCTTTTGATATTAAACTGTAATCTCTTATTGTTAATAGAAGAAACTAAAACAAATATTTATTTTTGGTATGTATCTATTAAGCCTGTTGCACCTGTGAGTGGGTGGGGGGACTTCTGTTATATATATTTGAATAATTTAATATTGAGTTCAATGTAACAGTATGGATTATAACTGTGTGGTGAATTTTGAGTGACCTCTGCACAGACACATTGATAAATTAAAAATTTGTTATGAAAGTAATTGTGTAGAAGGGAGAAAACCGCATTTTTAGCAATAATTATCACCCAGAATAATCTACGAATCAATAAGCAGGTGGTTTTGCATTAGTAATTTGTCTAACTAGATTTAACAAATTTCTGCCAATTTGCATGATTAAACATCACTTGTTTGTCATCCCTGCTTATTATTTTCATCAGAAGCTGCGATTTAATTTTGTTATTTCATGCCAGATCAATATGATAAATTACTCTCGTATTGATTCTCTCTAAAATTATGATGATGAATCAAACAATTGCCCATATATTGTGACTGATGTGTCGCCTAAAGACTATATTGCTTCTTTCCAAGAGGGAGGTTACATGAAATAAGAAACAGAACTCTTCAAGATATTTATAAAATAGAATCTTGGTCAAAGAATCTTGTTATAATTTTTCTGATTGTTTTTTCTTAAGAAATTATTATACTTCTTAAGGAATTAGTATACTTCTAGGGTAAAAAATTCTTTGACCATTTTAAGTAAAGTCAATTTGCTTTTCTTTGTGTTAAGTAGCATAACAGGAGACTTTGTCTTTTTATTCCTTTTCTTTTATTTCTTTTTTATTAACATCACAGGCATTATGAATAATATAAAATTTCAATAATATCAAATGAAAATGAAACTGTACTTGTAAATTTGTTTTTTTTTTATTTGTTTTGAAAGACCACCCGTCAACAAATGCCACTAGGTTTTAAAATCGATTCCTCAAGACTGGTTTTATCTGTATACACCATTCTGTTAGCCTAATTCTGATTATTTAACAGCAGCTGTATGTATATATCAAAAAGCTGTGAAAACCAACAAAAAACTATGAGGCATTCTAATAAATGGAATTATTCATACTGTAATAGCATTTTAATGACTACTTAATACCAAATTAGTGGACCACACGATAAAAGGAAATGGATAAAAAACTGCAGGAAATTTTTATATAACATAGGGTATAAGTAATCTATGACAGCCTTCGAGTGACCTCCACCTGTTAGCTGGACAATGCCAACAGTCATATATTGTTGACACTGCGGTTAACTGTTGATAATACACAAGTATGATGGCATACGCCAGGTCCCAAATTTTGCCGACTTCATGTTGTGTCACCATTTAACCAAATTTTCAAGCTGTTATGTTTATAAAAACCATCCCATAATGCCCCAGCAGATGGCGGAATTCACAGTTTGTGCGGAAATCTCTTCAAAGGTTGTTAACAATAACAATTTATTATCAGAGCTTTACTACATACAAATAAATTTCCAATCATTGTTTGATTTGCTAACATTGGATATAAAACATTTTTGTATGTACACAATGTGGTCTGTTGGTATTGAAGGCAGCAAGTTTTATTTGGTTCTGTTTATTTACTACAGTCTGGCCACATGGTAGCTTATTGGTGTATGTGTGTGTGTGTACATAGGGTAACTTTTGATGTGACAAAAATTTTTTGGGCCGCTGGATAAGTAAACATATCCCCCGAAAGTTCTATGATAGTTTGTAAAACAAGTTATTGTCACCACTTGTTAAGATTAAAGTAGCTAGTATAAATGTGTTACCTTTATAGCAATATTAGGCGTTTGCTTATGACAATTTGCTATAAAAAAAAAATCTTACGAAAATAGCACCAAAAAATACGAAGTACATACATATTGGTATGTAGTTTATTGAATGATATGAATATTTCAAATAGCTGGTAAAATTATTTGGTGTGTTCAAAGTCTAGATTCAAGAGAACGGAAATTTAGTAAAACAAAAAGTACTTTTAATTTTTATTGAAAAGTCTGAAGAATATTATATTGCTCAAAACTAGTAGCAAATACAAACATTATACTCGACCTGGTGTTGTATGTGTGTTCCTCACCTGTTTAAATCATTGTTTTATAAAAATTAATGTTGTAAAATGTTAAAATATTTTTGTAAAATTATCACAAAATTGGTTAGATAAAGAGTTTTACGCATTAAAGAAGCAAGGAAAAATATTCTCAATATTTACCCTATGTCCAGGAATGCTTAGTAAAGGTTTAGTACAAAAAATGGTCACATCTAATTATTTATCTGGGCCCCATCTGTTATAGCACTTATATAGCATGTAATTTTACTTTTTTATAGCTGAATGAATTAGACCATAGTGACTTTGTAGACTGATTTATATACTGCTTTAAATGGTTATTAAAGTTTATCACTTTTTTGAAGTGAAACTGTACGAGACATTTAATGTATTTATATTTCATGAGGTAACAAATTGTTTAATATCCCAATTGTTCTACCTTTGCCAGAGGGGTTTTAGCTATAATTACATTTGAATATAGAAGATGGGTAGATGACTCGGCAAAATTGAAATACTAAATATAGATAATTTCTAGTCTTATGATGATGAATAATTTAGCCGTTTTAAATAACATTAGCAGTGTGGGTGATAATTTGCAGAGGGTGGATACCACACTTATATAAGGCAGAATGGTCAACTAAGAGGTCTGTTTCTGTGACTTTTGTATATCACCGTCACCATAACATACTTTTACAAATCTTGCACTTTTCAACATGATGGCAGCAACTGATTTAAACCCATATGACCAGCACAGACCAAGATCAGTCGTCACATCTTGTCACCTTAATTCAGTAACAGGTTAACTCCTACTTTATTGTGTCGCCTTGAAAAGGCGACATATAGGGATTACATTTGTCGGCGGCGTCGGCGGCCTTGAAAAGGCGACATATAGGGATTACTTTTGTCAGCGGTGTCGGCGTCGTTGTCGGCGTCCCCTAAAGTTTGTCCAGAGCATAACTCAGTCACTTTAAGTTGGATTGACTGCATGCTTCTTTCAATAACACGAAGTGCAGTGCACAAGGACCAGTACTCTGCACTTTTTAATTTTTGAGTTATTGCCCTTTGTAAATTTTCATACTTTAATTTTGTCCGGACCATTTTTCTTCAACTATAAAAGCTATGGACATGAATCTTCATATGATGATAGATCTCATTAAGAAGAAGTGCAGTGCACAAGAATCGGTACTCTGCATTTCCTAATTTTTGAGTTATTTCCCTTTGTTAATTTTCATACTTTATTTTTTTCCGGGCCATTTCTCCTAATGTATAACAGCTATGGACTTACAACTTCATAGGATGATAGATCTCATTAAGAAGAAGTGCAGTGCACAGGAACAGGTACTTTGCATTTCTTATTTTTTGAGGTATTGCCCTTTGTTAATTTTCATACTTTATTTTTGTCTGGGCCATTTCTCCGAAAGTATATAAGCTATGGACTTGAAACTTCATAGGATGATAGATCTCATTAAGAAGAAGTGCAGTGCACAAGAACCGGTACTCTGCATTTCTTATTTTTTGAGTTATTGCCCTTTGTTAATTTTCGTACTTTATTTTAACCAGGTCATTTCTCCTCAAGTATGAAAGCTATAGACATGAAACTTCTTAGGATGATAGATCTCATTAAGAAAAAGTGCAGTGTACAAGAACCGGAACTCTGCATTTCTTATTTTTGAGTTATTACCCTTTATATATTTTTATATTTTATTTTTGTCCAGGCCATTTCTCATTAATTATAAAAGATATGGACTTGAAACTTCATAGAATGATAGATCTTATTGATAAGAAGTGCAATGCATAGAAACTGCTGCTCTGCACTTATTATTTTTTGAGCTATTGCCCTTTGTTAGTTTTCGCATTTCAGTTTTGTCCTGGCCATTTCTCCCAAACTATATTGTTCACAAGGCGACACATCCGACTCGCGGAGTTCTAGTTTCAATAGGACTTTATCTCTTACTACACTAAGATGACAATCAGTGCTGTATGTTCATGGTCGAGACAGCACTGTTTGCAATCTAGTCAGTACATATTTCAAATTTTCATGATACATTATAAAGAGTTTCGATAAGTTTGAAAGATGAACAAGTCATTTTATAATATTAAGCATGGTAAGGGTTGGGCAGTTAAAAATTAAGTTGGTTCGTATATACACAACTATGTAGGCTGACTTTTACAGTCTCGATCTTCGATGGTGGCATGGCATTGGTATGTTATTCTTACACAAAGGGTGAAGGTCTTCAAATCTTTTTAAAGCAGGATCAATCTTTTTTATATAAAAAATGATGACATGATTAAAGGTTGGACAGTGTTACACTGTAACAAATTTTCTTAGCATTTTTTATACCTGTAAGTTTAAAGATATAGTACTTTACCTTGTCATTTCAGTCAACTTTATATTTCCCTTTCCTTTGAAGGTGATTTGTTTCAGAGGAAATTCATACAGGATATAAAGTGAAGTGAAATGACATTTTTATAATGTGTCCATTGGCATTAATTTTTTTATATTTAATTTATTGAGCAATGATTGTCACTTGAAATAATTATTAACAAATGCAAGAATAGATAGATAAATTTCTACAGCGAATAAAGTCTCCTATGTCACATCTCAATGATATATTTTTAGCGCTGTTTTATTGAATTTATTAGACTATCTGCAAACATACTACAGGTTATTTACAGCACAAAATAACTCAAAATCATTGAAAGTGTTCAGTATAAGTCTAATTTATCCGTAATTGGATGAACTGAAGCATATAGATCCATCAGCAAGACACTGATATTAAAACTTGATATAAAAAAACCCTATGATTTTTATCAGGCTTAATGACCATTGCATGCCTACCAAACAGTGTGCGGCAATCGCAATTACCGCCATCTGCCGTACTTTTTTATCCTGTCAGTAACTTCTCCGACAATTTATCTGGGGGCATTCGGGCATAGTTAATATTCATATTACATACACGCGACAACTGTACAATCAGAACCAATGGTTAGCCTAGGGGCTTTCTACTTTGATAAAACATGCATAATTAATTCAGTTACAATTTTAATGTCAAAGGAGCAAAGCTTTTTTGATAATTTATCAGTTTTACCTTGGTGGATATTGATGAATAAAAAAAACAATTAAAAGAAATTGTTCTGCTTTGCTTCATAAAGTGTGTTATAGTTAACTTTTACGATGCATGCAATTTAATTATCTCTCAGTTAAAGTTTGTTTCTAAATTTGTTTTGATCACTGAAATTTGAAAATGATTTATTTCAGTCAATTTAAAGGATTAGGATCAGTAATAATAATTTAAGTTAATAATGAATAACTGTTTGTCTGCAGCATAGTTTATGCTTCAAGAATTTTCAAGTTGTTTCATGCAGTTGAAGATTTTAATATTAATTGTTCTCAGCACCTTAAAAGTCACTATAGAAAAATTTGAGAGTTATGTCCCTTTGTCTATTATTTTCAGCGGTGACCAAGATCAGTTCTTATGTTAGTCGATTGCATGGGTTTTAAGAGCAGTCGAAAAAATTTTAAGCCTTAAACCGACTGGAATGAAAGGTTTAAAATAGCCTGTGCCAACAGTATAGAGTTAGGCCGGACTGCATAGACATTGATGGATCCAGAAAATATATCTGCGTCTCTGCACCTCATTTATGTGCAGTTTGACCAACAGTCTGACCATCTTTGCAGTCTGACCAGGCTCTATATTACATTATTCTATTTAGTATTTTGATAATTATTGAAGTCCCTACATTTTGAGATGTACTGTTCCAAAATAAAAGCAGTGAATATTTGATTAATTAAATAAATAAATGATTAATTAAACCAAATTGGCAGGTAAGGGTTAAATAACATGCCTTAATATGATGACTTTTAAGTTTAATGAGGGACCCAAAGAGGTGCTCCATTGTACTCCCGTCCCTATGCATTAAATCTGGTATATTGAAACCCACTTGTGAGAAGATCAAGTGATTTACCTTAACCACTAGGTCAGAGGTGTACTTGACCTAAAAGAGGGTCCTATCCCTTCTTGTATGTCATGTGACATCAGACTGCTGTTACTCAAATGTATCATGCTTTATTACACTTAATACATTATAAGTGATTGTATCTATTCAAAGTGCTATTAAATTCATCAGTGGTTTATGTAAACCTTTAACCTGCTTGAATCAAAAGTGACAAGCTGTTGGCACCAGCAAAGGACCCGGGCAACCTGTACATCCATGCAGTCTGACTGCTGGTAGCTCAATTTTTTTGTATTTTGATACTGAAATACTTTAAAATTTGAATACAAAGATGGATACCGGTAGATCATTTATGCTAATTTTCAGCAGATTAAAAGTTAAGGAAAAAGTAAAATGTACTTAGTTAATAAATCTGTAAGTCAGCGTCACTCATTCATCCTTGTTCATATGCATATTAATAGTCAATAAGGATTTTATTTGTACCAATAAAATGGGGGTCAAACTGTAACTCCCTAAAAATGTAATAGTTAAATATAAAGCCCTTCCTTCATTAATGATGTGAGAAAACAGAGTGAAAATAAGCATATAGGCAACATCCTCTTTTTTTCATTGAAACAGATAATCCTGTTAAGAGTCCCAGCATCCTGTCGCGATGGTCTTACGGCACATTGAATAGTGTCACCAAAACTGAAAGTGTTTTGATTGTTGATGTCAGCGAAAACTGTATGATTACCTACCCAGGATAAATAAAGATTGTAATCTTTTTTATGATAAACTCTTACTTCCTGCGATAAAAAGACATTTTCTTTGATATCATTTTGAGATTAAATCATCCTTTTTTCTTTACAAGAAAAAGTTCATTCCATTGGCAGCCAATTTATTTACTTAGTGCATGGTTATAAGTAATATTTATTTGATAATTTCCTGTCACTGTGTGTCAGTCTGTCTACAGTTTACTTATCGGACAATAAACAGACTTTGAATTAGGTCTTATTGACCAATTTAAGTGTTCGGGGGATTGTCCACTATGATATTATATAAAATTTTGTTACTTATTTTATTACAGGTTAATGCAATTTTCCTCTATGCACTAATGTAGACTGTGTAAGTTAAGTACAGCTAACCCCTTTGATATAATATGATAGATAAAATATTTTTGTTATGAAGGCTATAATTCTTTACCACTTTGAATAACTGTGATTTTCAGGTGTAGATTTCCTTCAGTAAGCAGGGTAAAGCAATGATCATGCATTTATTCAGCAGTAGTCAAAGTAATGTTCAGAAGCTATTCAGCAGTAGTTATGCTAATGCCAAGCAGTTATTCAGAAGTAGTCAATCATGTGGGGAATCTTGTGTACTGAAGTTATTTAGCAGAGGTAAGACTTATGCTCAGCAGTAGTCGAGCTTTTGTCCACCAGCTATTCAGCAGTGATCAAGCTAATACCCAGCAGTTATTCAGCAGTAGTCTTCTTATGTCCATCAGCTTTTCAGCAGTGGTAAAGCTAATTCCTAGCAGTTATTTAGCAGTACTCTAGCTAATGATGGCTAGTTATTCATCAGTTCACCAGTTATTCAGCAGTGATCCAGCTGATGTCCCCCAGTTATTTAGCAGTGTTTAAGCTAATGTCCATCAGTTATTCAGCAGATTTCAAGCTATTGTGTATATATCTCTAATTCCCACTAGTATATGCAACTATAAAACCTATTTGGTGATTGGAAAGTAGTATTAAATAAAATGATGAATCATCAATAATAATTTTATCAGCCTGCTAAACTACTTTTGTCAGTTATATTTATTACCATAATTTTATTTCAGATAGCAGTTTAGCTGACTTGTAACATTCCTCTTAAATAGCATTGCATTAAACTGATACAGTTACTTCCCTTGGACCACATAATGGCTTTAATTTTTGTGCGTTTTTCCGTTGAGTTTCATAAAAGAGATGAATTTGACTGTTGAAATTAAAATGAATAAAATGCAAAATATTTACTTTTTTATAGGAAAACAATGGAACAACAATGGTCAGCTTTCTAGAAAAGGGATACAATGTAAAGGTGCTAAAAAATAAGAGTACCAGTATTTCTAGATGAGAACCTGACAACATAGTACCATCATTGTCATATCAGACTGTGAAACTTGCATTACCTTTCATAATTACAGACATGATCATCGAGATGTCAGGTAATTTCTACAAACTCCTCATTACTTCTAGTTTTTACCGGGGAGCAAGCATTAGACCAGACCTTGAATTAAGGAAATAAATTCCCTAGATATCCTAACACTAGACTGATTAAGCTAATGAAACTGGATGTACATTGTAAGAGAGCTTCTGACAGAAGAGTACAAATCATTTGCCCATATTTTGTTCAATGGACATATACTAATTTACTTAAAATCTAATATCTCCGGTGACAACTTTCGCTAAAAAAATACAATTGCATTAAAAACAGTCTGAGAGGGTCATATTTTAGTTTTTCCCATGGAACTTAGTATGTTTCTCAGTAAAGTTTACGCTACCATTTTTTTTCTTTCTAAAAATTGAATTACCTTCGGAATCTTTTAATGTTTTCATCTTCAACTGTCTAGTTAAGGAGGAGATAGTTGAACGTAAAACCTGTTAAAGGATTTGTTCACAGCAAACATGTTATTGTAATTGGTGTCTAATTAGCTTTACAAGTTAATAAACTGTGGAGTTCCATGGTACTCTTAACACCTAGCTATGGTGGGAACTGTTCCTAGTGTGGGAACCTTAGAGATATTCCGTTAATGAAGTTATACATGACATTAAATGTTAATTAGTAAGAAAGAGCCTCTTAATGGACCTAACAATAAATGAATCCTGGGTAATTTGTCAGGTACGTTGTTATGAAAAAATGAAAAATTATTAATAAACTACTACTTCTTTATCAGGAATATGATAGTATTTGCTGTAGCGTGTTTTTTTTATACAAACTTGAACTATTCAAAACACACCCATCCTTACCCACAAACCCCACTATCAAAATATGTTTTGATGGGATTTTATTCATATTTATATAAAGTCATAATTTGACTCATATACATTTTCTTTAAAAAATGTTTTGCGTTTAAAATTGCTGTATTCTAAATGTCTTAAACTTAAGAATAAAGTCATGTCAGCCTTATTATCCCTTCAGTTTATTCCATTGTAGGAATATGAAATTATGGATGCTTAGCAGGAAGATATAATATGTTTCAATTTTTATAAGTTTCAAACTTGGACCCTTTTTTAAAAAATATAAATATTTATATATATCCTCTTAACCTTTCAATGGCATCAGGCTATTACTCAGTGAGTGCCATCAATAATAATTATACTTACAAATGTATTTTGTTATTTATGTGTTTTTTGTATATACAAGTCACCCTTCCTATGTATGCGTGCACTTTGTATATCGGAAACTCTTAACATAAAGTGATGAAGCATTTAGTTTGAACTACTAGACTAAAATGGAAATAGGAGAAGACCCCGATATGTAATATCTGCCAAGTACATTTATATTGATGAGCCTATTGTACTATTGAGATCAGTTTTGTTTTGACCGATTGCTATCAGCAACTCAATTTTCAAAGACTAAAGTTTGACAAGTACAAATCATGGTGCGATTGAAAGAGAAAACATGCTCTAGATCAACAGTATAGATGTTTTCTATATGGGGAAAAAAATAAAACACGCAAATATTTTGTAAAGTCATAGATAGAGAGTTCAGTCAGTTTTAAGAATTGAAACGTTATTATTCACGTTTTTCGATTTGTAAAATTTTAAATCGGTTGAGCTGTTTTTAAAGGGGGTGTTTAAATAGGATTAGTCAATTTTTCAGCCAAAATTTATTGCGACGAAGCATCTTTTCACAGTTGTTAGTAACATCGTTCTATTTGTCACAAATAAATGACCTAATTTTTGGAACAATGACAATTTTCGATCCTCATCCCCCGCATGTTATAAACGTAGGTAAATAGGTATTATCATTATTGTTTTGTGGTACGAGAACGTGTGGGATAAAGAGTAGGTTAGTTTGGAATAAAGTTTACAATTAATAGTAAATAATTACAGTAATTGTCGTGATACGCAAGTTTCGATGCCAAAATAAACATAAAAACAACTTTAATGCTAACAATGCCTATTATTGAACTGAATGAAAAGCACAAAATTATTGTGTATTCTATTGAAAGAGGTTTATTTACAAGTTGTAAAACATAATTGCTCTATTTTGGCGATTAAGTCAGATTTTTTTTGTTAACATAAAATCCCCATTTCTTAAAAGTGTTTAATCACCCATGTTTTATCGAATTAAAATGTTGGTGAAATTTTCATGAAATTTATGTTCAGTTAATGATAAATGGTTACAGAGATGGAAGAAATACTTGTTCTGTTTCATGTTGGTCAATATAGGAATAACATGACTAAATATTTGTCAGAGGGCATACCTTATTATTAAAGTAATCTCTGGGAGAAAGCTTAAACTTTATTACAGTCTAAATGGGTTGTTAAAAACATGAATGAAACTGTCAGAAAGTAGATTTAAAGCCTGGGGGTTGAACATAAAGCAGAATTGAGTTATTTTGTCAGTTTGATTTTGTCCATCAATTAGAGTGATTTTGTGCCCTATCTCCGGCCACTGTGGTCAGTGTTGGGGTTTAGCTAACAGTAGGTTGAACTGTGGTCAATGTGACTTGCTACAGCCAGGTCATGGCCCTAAAAATGAAGTAACTGTATGAGATAATCCTAATAGTGATACACTGAAAAATCAAAAAGCTATTTATACAGGTGAAATCAGCAGTTTTCTACTAGATTTAACAAAATCAACACAAGATGGGGTTATCTCTGAACTTTCTTATGCTTAATTAATCCCTGTCTGTACTTAGGTCAGCAAATTGTTTTTCATGTAATTATTAAAATGTCATTGAATTAGGTGACAAAAAAACTGCCTCATGTCAGTTAGAAATGATAAGTTAATGTTATACTCCAATGAGAGAAAAACGTCATTGTATGATAAATGATAATTTTTAATTTTAATTTTCTTTTCTCCAATAGTTTTGCTTTTCTGTGCTAGAGATAAAGATGTACCATCGGAGACTATTAGAGGCGTGTCACTACTTTGTTTTAAAAGTAAAAAATAAGGGGAGTACTAGTTCACAGATGGTGTATAAATGATAAAGAACATCATCAATAGAAAAGAAACATAGCCCAAAAAGACTCTCATTTATTAAAGAACACCAGCATATGTCAGGCCCCTATTTGGCCTGGTCAGAACCCTTTTGGCCAGGTCAGGAATAACAAACCCTAACCACTGGTCAAGGGAGAATGACCCCAGGAGGTCAGGTCTAAATTCTTTGCATCTCATCCCAATCATCTTTCGGCAGTAATTGCTGGTCAGTTACTGGTCAGTTAAGGCAGGTCATTCTGTAAGAGGGTCACTTCATTCATTGATAAATGTCTGGTGTTTCAACAATTTACAGATAGGGCTGAGAGGATTTAAAGGCCAATACTATTTTAATCATGGTTCCTGTGAATATAGAAAATAAATATTATATAACCTCTACTTCCAAGTTCATTATACAGCTAGCAGGACAAGGGTTCATGATCATTCTTTATTTCAAATCATGATTTCTCATGCAGTAGTTATTTCAAGTGCTATAACTTGTCTTTGGAATTCAACTTGAGCCACATCTTCTTATATGAACAACCACCTGTTTATTCTTCAGTATATGCACTATGCAGTGCAATAAAAACTGTCCTAATTAATGAAATGTTAAAAATCTTTCATCTGCAGTATATTTATTTTTTGCATGTTATGTACTAAAACGAAGTCATCATGTATTTTGATATAAGGTGAATGATCCAATGCAGCTGTTATATGGAGTGTATTGTACCAGTTTGCCCAGAACTTAAGCAGGAGTTTGATGAGACTCTGTAGGGTCTTTTCTCACAGTTTATACTCGGTTCCAAAAGTGCACAGTTCTTCTAGTTTATTTACAGTACCAAAAGTGCAAAGCTCTGCACTTCCTCGGTGCATGTCAGTTAGTATAAAAAGTTTTAGATTTTTCATTTCTTTGCATGAAAGGGAAAGTCCCGAGACATTGAAGCTAACAAATTTCTCTTGTAAAATTTGACTGAGTCAGCTTGTCATTCAGTAATTGGGGGCTATCTTCTGAATGGAGAAAGTGTATCGTTAGGGTCAGGGGAAATCTGTAGAAAAGTAATTTGAGAAATTATTGTGAAAACAAACTTCAATTTATCATTTATTGGCACACTAGGGTACCTGTCTAAACTTTCATGTAATTTTGTTGTAAATTTTAAAATGGGTAGGGCTGTTAACTCATGGGGTCAATGGAGAAGATATAAATCATGTGAACCTTTCATAGCCAATGAAAGTTGGTCAGTTAATTGACAACAGACCTGGTGACAGTAATGAAGGAACTGTAATCATTTTAATTGGTGGGGCCATGCTTTCTTAATTTATCAGCTCAGATTGATAAATTGGACTTCCCTTTCTCAAGAAATTTTACAGGCTTCGAATCAATAGAACTGTGGATTCTTAAAGCTTGAAATGGTTCTCATCGAAATCATTTCTAACTAAAATTGTTCCTTAGATCTATTTCTCAGGTTCTATATTATTTTAAAATCTTCCATTCACATCTAATATTTTGAAAATTTATTTCTTTGACGTGTTTCTTTATCTCCTTCACTAGTGCCATCATACAAAATGAACTAATACAATAGAACTTCTATGTGTGGAACTTTATGGTATGTTCTCATCGCTGATCAGATGAACTTGATCATCCCGATCACATTAATTCCCTGATGAAGCCTGACCAAGCTGGATTAAATGCACATTCACGAAGCCTACATGACCTCAAGTCGACCCTACACGATGTTTTACGACTTCTTCTCGACGACAACCCGACCAACATCCCGGCTTCTTCTCCTCGATCACCTGGACCTACACGCAAGTTATACACGATCTCAACTAGACTAACTGGACCTCTGCTCGATCGTTGCCAGATTTCCACCAGACTAGATTGTAATAATGCTCGAGTAAAATTCGAGATGATCATGTACAGATCAGGTAAGAGATGTATACCCGACCAAACTAAATCGTTACACAATTTATTCTTGATCAACTAGATCTTCTACTCGATCACTATACGATCGCTTCTCGACCGCTTATCTACTCGATCGCTAATCGAATTTTTTTGACAAGTCAAAAAAATTTGGGTAGGAAGCGCGAGCCATGCAGACTAAGGTAGACCGCTCTGACCACCCCGATCATGCATGCAGACCGAGCTAGACCGGTACCCGATCGCTTGATCGTGCTTGAGAACACAGCATAAATTAGAAGATTTTCTCAATGTGTCAAATAAAATGAAATTCCATATTTTTTACTCCTGTATATTCTTTATTAAAACCTATAAATTATATGAGTTTATGAGTTATATGAATTTTTTGTTGTGTCGAAATTTTTATGTGATCCTTAAAGAATAATTCAAGACTTAAATTGTAACAGACAAGCGTTATCACTGCACGTGGTGCTCTTTTTCATAACTTTCTCGAAAATCATCACAGATATTCACTTCAAACTTTATATACTAAATATCAAGGCCAAATAATTTTGCCAGCTGTTTATCAGAATTATGCCCACATTCTACTTTGTTAATCATACTATCAAGTACCAAGAAAAGTGAGCTGCACTGCTCCTAGGACAGCTCTTGTTAAAGTAAGGACTTGGCTCTAAAGCCATCTAGAGTTTCCTCTCATCCTTAAATTTTGGTATTATTATGACACATCAACAACAGACAACTTGCCATTTAATCTGTCATTGTTAATTTATATAAGTTTTTATGACATCTTCATCTAGAAGTGTTTATCTTACTGTCTAATATACCAACATAACATTTTAATTTATGTAACCACAGACAAACTGATCCTCACACTCCATTAAATCACTGTAGATCATTTAAACCCCTCCCACTGGGTTTCATATGATGGTCTCCTAATAGTGGTCAGTTCTTCCTGTCTAGTGGTCACTCAAGTCCATTTGTTTATGGCAGGTATCAGTGAAAGTGACACCCCTCTCTCCAGGGATTTTCTGACACTGATTGAGACACTCACAGTCTCTGAATTCCTAAATCATGATTATATCAAGTCTTCATTATTCAGCACTTTATTTACAGATGAAAAACGCCTAAAACTATTTTGTTTTATTTTATAATTAAAGCTTACATAATTTTAAAATGTGCATTAAACCACTAGCCCTGCACTGCTGAAGGTTTGAATCCTGCTAGGGACATTAGATTATTTTGAGTGAGGAAGCTATCCAGCTACCTTACAGAAAGTCAGTGGTTCTACTCATGTGCCCATTAGTGCATGAAATAATAAATGGAGGGGCAATTCCACCAGTTAAAAGTGGAATGTTGCCATATGACCTTCACAGCAAAACAATAACAACAATAAAAAAGTACATGTACTAAAAAAAACAATGCATAGAAACATTAGAGCATTATGTACATTAAAATTTGCTCAACATGAAAGCACAATACTAGGAGATTTTTGATACAAACTACTGCCCAGACTCGTAAAGTGTCAAACTGTTTTGTTATGTGGGAAAGTCTTGTGCATAAAGTTGACTTGACTAGTCAGTTAAGAAACAATAAGTGACCAGTTAAAGTGTCAACTCAAGTTGTCAGCAACACGGTATTTAAGCAAAGCAGCACTATAGCGCTAATCATTGTGCTTATGGACAGAAGTAAATAAGCCAGCAATAACTAGTAGTTGGCTGAAAAAAAAATCCATTACAGTGGTTCATTTACACTTTAAAATAAATCTCTACCATACACTACTCTTAAAAATGATTTAATAATCTGTTGGTGATATTCATGGATTTGCATATGTTTGCTTTTCCCCCACTATAGGGGGGGATTAAGATTTGGTCCATGGGTCCCTCCATTCTCATGTTGTGTCACATGTAGCTCTAAAGGTGCTTGTGTTAGGGTCAGCAAACATACAGTTTATGATGTTTTGCTTAAGGATTAATTCAGTTTTGTCAGAGTTATTGCCCTTGACTGTCAAAATTGGTGATTCTTTACTTGTGTCCCATGTAGTCCAAAAAATATTTGATCTAGAGTCAGTGCATTGTCGAGAATTAGCGGGGGGCATCTGTGTCCTATGGACACATTTCTAGTTTTCTTTCATTTTTGAATGTAGACTTATTGTAACATTTAGTTCACCTTATGGGATGTTTGCCAACCATTGACTTTAATTGGTAGGTTTTTACTGTCTGGCTGTGCATAAAACAATGACATATTCACTTGGAGATGTTTTTACCAAGCACCGTGTTTAAATTGTAGCAAAACTATATGTCATGAGAATGATCACCAGCTTCTTTTAATTAATTTATTAACAAATCTCTCAAATGAGACTTAAAACTCCAACTGTGGTCCAGTGAAACCCTGCTTTATGGTGTTTCCCTAAAAATTAGAAATATTAATTTGATTCTCCTGGAAGTTGAGTAATTTTGGAAAATATGGAATTGTCCTCCAAGAATAGAATTTAACCAACAGACTTATTGAAGGAGTCGCCCATTCGACTATTTCCAATCTGTTACACATGTATAAAGAACATTCAAGGACCATTTAAGTGTCATTAATTGTGACTTAAAAATCAAATAAAAAATATAAAAGAAAAAAAGATAATGGAAATAAAGTACATGTATATCACTTTACATGGATGTTGTAGTGACTGGTAATTGTTTCACACCGGGGAAATGTCTGTAATGTCAGATGTTATTAAATGACAGATCAGTTGAGTAAAGAAATATATTTGATGAAGAGCATCATCACCAGGGAGGTCATTGATTTTTCACACAGGGATCTCATTTGCATAATTTTCTAATAGATTATCAGGGAATCATAATGAAAATATTGATATTTGTGGCAGTTTAAGTGTATGCTGGCTGCATGGAGATGGCAAAATGGAAAACACAGTGTCAGAGAGTCTCTGTAAAAGCTTGCTCACCTGCGTTTACAAGAGTTGTATTAAAACCAAGTTGTTCCACCTTAGTGATAAAATTATTTCAATATTAAAGAAAACATGTGGATCCTAAACCCCTTGTATTAAAAACACAAATGTTGGTATGAATTTTCTGAATAAAGGTCAAACAAAGTGCCAGCATGGAATTGTCTATATCTTGTCCACTCCACAATTAACGAAGCTAAAGGACACCTTGTTGACACTTGGATTTACATAAAAAAAAGATAACATGCCTGTTCTCAGATTATAAAAAAATATTACACACAGAAATTAAATAAGTATAATAAGTTATTTGACCCATTGATGGATAATGAACGGAAATGTGAAACAAAACATGCTTCACATGTTAATAAGAACAGCAGATAGACTTAAACTTGGTGTTATTAAAATCCTTCATATCTATTTTACATCCACAATGACTTGGCAATTTACGTTTGATGTTATAACGTTTTTTAAGTCATAAAAAAAAACCTCCGCAAAGGAACAGTTATGTTGAATAAAAAATTGTCCCGTCACAGTTACAGTTAGGTAATAAATCAGTAATCGTCTTTAATATTTGGAAAGATATATGTGCTGTATATCAATTTTCAGCCTTTTTGCGGTAATGCAAACAAGTTTAGATAGACTATTAGGCGTTTCATGACAATTACAGTAGCTTTTCTATTTTCTTTATGGTTTCAATTAGTGTTTAAGATCTCTGTTTATGATGTACACGCTGCTTCATGAAATGTGTCTTTTTTATGTACAATCTAAGCTGATTTTTGAAGACCTTGAGTAAATACTTGAAAGAAGTATTAAAGTCCCATAAGAAATGATTTAGGGTATTTTATTATCGTGACATGTGCTGGATGAAAGGTATTTTACTCTATATAATTATCATTAAAATGAGGGAAGCTATTACTCAAAGGCTCGGTTCCCGGCTCAGTGATAATGTTATTACTCAAAGGCACGGTCCCTGGCTTAGTGATAAAGTTTTAAATGAAAGGCACGGTTCCCGGCACAGTTCTAAGGCACAGCTCCCAGCCCAGTAATGTTTAGTTTTTTTGTTGTTTTTCTTTTCAATTTTTAGTTTTATTATTTAAAACTAAATATAATAAGCAGTATCCAGAGGGAAAAAAATACTTAAATTTCAAATTAACTTACAATCATATCATTATATTAAAAGTAACTTTGAACAAATATTGGTTACTTTCTGAATGCTTTGTGATTTGTGATTTTTATGAATGTGCCACCAGCTTGAGCTAGTACAGAGTCAGTGTAGCCTCCAAATCCTGCAGTCAGACATGGTGGTGCTTTCTTAGTCCTTGTTGAATAACATGTAGATACTTTCATAAGTCTGTTAAACCAATTGTATAGGTTTATGTCTTTTTCTTCACTGATGGAAAGAGTAGTACTACCTCAGAATGTTTTGAATCAACTACACTCCTGCATGTTGAACTTGAAATTTTAGATGATTAACATACTTGAGAAAAAATTACCTTTGTTTCTATCATTACCTTTGTTCTTGTATAATTTAATAGAGTTTTGTATGAAAGGCACTTCCTTTTTGATTCCTATAGTTTGACAAATATATTGTCTCTATGTGACTTGATTGTTTTCCAAGAGAAAATTGAATAAAGAATAATTATTGCTAAGGACGTCTTCTCTTCAGAACCAATTAAAAGTAATAAATGTGTAAAGTTAAGAAATAGTTTAAGTATTTGCAATATGTCTTTTATTTCTCAAGAAGAAATCATCATGAAACAGTCCTCTTGAAAAGGTATGACTCTTGACGATAGATTTAACTGAATTTCCAGATGAAATAATAGATGTTTGTTTGTTTGTTTTGCATGTAAGATCAAAATATCATTCACAAAGTGAACATCAGATGCAATAAAATTGATGAAATGAAATTTCTATAGTGGCATAGACGTTGTTTAGATAATAGTTCATCATACTAAATGGTCACACCCATAAATTAAGGGGCCGTCAATTGGCTGGCAGGTCAGGTTGCTTTGCAAGGTCTTTGGAGGTATCCAGCTTGCTAACTGAAGGTCAGTGGTTCAACTAGGGTCTCCACTAGTGCTAGAAATACTGCACATGAAGACAGTCTTTAGGGCATTTCCTCTGCCAGTTAACTTTTCATATGAACTTTACAGTGTTAGTGTTTCTTTAGATGCTAATAAATGATAATTACGGTATAACACTCAATCAGTCCATGATAGAAGGAAAGCAAAAATTTGCTCCATTTCTAGTTGTTTTAGTTGGGTGATTTTTTATGTTCATTCGCATACTTTTTTAATGAGAAAGAAATGGAAAAAAAATTAAGGTCATACTACATGTTTTATTTCAGGAACAGAGCTGGAGTCAAAGTATTCCTTCTGCAAGCGATATTGAAAGTGTCCTATAACTGAACACAATGAAGAGGAAACAACAGATTAAAGTCACACACTTGGCACTGCTGATGTAGAAGCAGATCTCAATGGTAAACTTTCATTATTTGACCTTGAATCTATGAGAATGCAAGAAAATGTTTGTGCTTATTAAGAATAAGAAAAAGTCCTGAACCTTTGGACATGTTCAACTTCTATTTTGGAACATCCCATGATAAATGTTATGGAATTATCAGAAGAAATTGGAAGTTGATCAGCTAGCAGTGTTTAAAGCTTTTTATCCCCTCCCCAATGAAAATGGGGGTATTAGAAATAATCTCTGTTTGTGCATCCGACACAATTTTTGGAAGCCAAAACTCCAAAAGTAGTTTAGCAATTTCTTCAAACTTCATAAACTGGCAGAGCATATTGGAAGAAAGTGCAGTGTGCAAGAACAATAACTCTACCTTGCCTTCTTTTAGAGGTATTCCCCTTCATCAGATTTACTTTGAGAAAAATTTCCTGAGCATAACTCCAGATGTAATTGAGTGATTTTCTTCAAACTTTATACTATGACATAAATAAAACTCAATAAACATTACTAGCTATGCTTACATTCTCTCTCCATTGCCTTATTCTTTTTCCACTTACTAGAAATACAGAACTTAGCTTGACCATAACTATAGGGGTTTTTAAGGTTTTCCTGTCACCAAGTAGTACAACTTTCAGGTAACTTCTTCCTGGTGAGAGGAATAACCATGTATAACATGGCTATTGCTTTTTCTTGTTTCAGGTCTTAGCTGTTTGCTATTTTATGGCATATTCCTGCTATTTTTGTTTTGTACCACTTTTAAACACCCATATTTCTTAAATTTTTAATATTATTTAATATTTTCTTAATATTTCTTTTGGCATGTTAGAATTTCCATGAAAGACGAAACAGTAGAAATATGTACCATTCATTGATTTAGTAATACTTTTATCTATGATTCACCAATAATTATAACAGTATAATAATAGTTAAATGTGATATTTTTTATATACAAAGTAGTGTCCTTGTATATATTGTAAACAGATTGTCATATCATTAGTGACTAAGACTGTTAAATAAATAATGTCAAATTAGTTCAATGAAACTACTAACTTGATTTTTCGTGTTCATTTGCAATTAAAAAACAGGAAAATATATTTGAAGAGCAGTGATTGTTGTATAGTATAACAATAATACAAAACGTTTTTGTTACACCATAATTACACGCTATTCTTATCCCATACTATCACGTTGTCATTAATGAGTCAAAACTATTGAATAATCAAAATTTCATTGTGTTCATCTACAGGCATGAACGTATCAGGGGATTTTTTATCGTAACATGGTCCTAGCTTATTTTTTGAGTTCATCAAGTTACTATATAAATAATACATGGTTACACCATAGGCAAAGAGTAACGTTAGGTTTTTTCTTTTAGTAAAGTCATAGACTTTAATGTAAATCTTGATCAGATAAAGTGGCAAGTCTAGAGATATATCATAAATCTGATATCGTGACAGATTTAACGATAGTGCTTACTAGATATTGCTTACTAGATATTGCGCTAACTCCTATACTGAAGTCACCATCTAAAATATATAAAAAATAATGTATATAATATAAATACTGCTTAGGTTAGCATGACAAAATACTGTAAAATTATCAGATTTTCTTTGGTGCATTTATTTTTTTCTCTTTATTTTTCCTTCTTCCTTCGTGCCCAGGAAGGAAAAGGTCCTGTAAAATGATCAGGGCTCAGTGCTTGGAATGTTGAAACTTACCTTCCTGTCAATAAATTATTGTAAGAGAGGCACAGATTAGTACAAAGTCATTCAACCTTTAAGCTAGTATCAGTCAGCTTTTTTAGTAAAACTGAGGAAATTTTATTTTGTGTAAACATGCAAGACAGTTTTAACCTTTTTTGCAGTACAATTAAGAGGTGATCTGTTAAGTAGAATAACAAACTTTGAATGCTGTTTTCAATGACTTGCGTTTCTCCCCTATTGGCTTAAATAGTGTATAATTATGTGATATATTTCAAATTTGCATGTATGACTTGCTCCATTCTCAAATGTTTGTCATTTTATGTTATAGAGCTAAGAAAACAGCCGATAACATAAGCAAAAATATGAAGGACTTCAGTCAATAGTCTCCTCTGATATACTAGACAGGTAATTTTAGATGGGACCTAAGGGAAGGATAAGAGCTGTATGTCACGGTTCAGAACTGTTCACTATTTAGGGGAGTAGATGATTGCGTAAGCAGCTGAGTAGGTCAGTCAGTAGAGCCGCAGAATGGTATTCCAAGGGTCCTGGGTTTGAGTCCCGGTCAGATTGCACATTTTTCACACCCTGTGACATGTAGTAAGACATTGTTACCATTACTGTGATTGCACTTATGTTACTATATGTTGAGCACTGTATTTTACCATTTTTATATCAAAATTTCACACATTTACAATGGATTGCTTCAAAGTCCAAGGAGCATACCGTATATGTTAAAGGTTTAATAGTAAATTTTGTCGAAACATATCCCATGTTATAAAACTCTTTTTGCGCCACCTTATATGCCATTTATTATGCCTAGAATATTTTTTTTAATATATCACAAAAATACATATTGTGAAATTTTCTTATGAAAGAATCAAAACTGGTGGACAATCAAATCAAACTAGAAGACAATCAAATCAAACTAGACAAGTTGACCATCTAATTACAACTCAAGTCTCTTTGTAGATAGGTAACCGCACTTGAGAAGCACACTTTTATTTCTTCTGACCTTAAAGGAGTGTACAGTTTAAAAAAAGCATCACCTACTTGAATGAATAACTTAATTTGTCACATATTATATATTGTATAGTATTTTTGAAAAGAATTGCTACTTGAAAAGGAAGATAGGTCAAGGATTCAATAAAAAGCTGAGCTAGCCTTTTTACTTATTATTTTTCCTCATAATATTAAAAAAAGTACAAGTGGTTTATTTGTTAACTTAAAATAAACTTCTGTTCTCAATAATTATATACTTCCAAATTCACCTTATATATCCTAGTAGGTTACACCAGTTGTTAAAGGTCATCAAATGAAATTGGTTCACTTGTGTTGCATCACGGAACAAAATAGAAGCCAGACGTTATATTTCCTTAATAAACACATGATATATCAAACGGGGGTTCTTTTGCCTTTTTATCAAACAAATCTTGATCAGATACCTTCAAATTTTAATGTGCTTGAGTTCTCCTATTTTTCACCCAATACACATGCTTTACTCTGTAATTTTTGTTGATTTGACAGAAAATACACCTGCCGTTTTATAGCCACTGAACCTTGAACAGTATTATATTCCTTAGACCCATTTACACCTTAATTTGAATAACAATCAGTCTAAGGCCTTTAAAAGGGAGCTTATGAGGTCAAATGAAGGCAACCCCAAATTTCTGATAAATTCGCTAATTCAGCTAAAATTGTAAAAGGCAGATGGCCTGTCAGTGAAGAAGAAAATTGATTGTCATTGGTGAAAATCTGATACTGGTCAATGGCTACTTATTTCAAATAATTTTGTGTAGTTTTGCTTTGATTATTATAAAGATGGTGTTTTAAAGTTTAGCACACCAATCAATGTGTAATACAAGGCTGATAATTGACAGGTGATTACCAGAGTTTTTCAAAGTATGTTTTCAAGCTGATCATACTTGAACTTCTATAAAGTGATTTAAATATTCAGTTGTCCTTTTGAAAGATTTGTCTGTTAATATCCTGGAAAAAAAAACTTCATTAAAGAATTATCACTAGGACACTTCTTGAAACCTTAGATTCCTTTGAATATTTAGACTGTTTTTAATAAAATGAAAATCACCAGGAACTTGTGTGAAAAACTGTCAATATTAAGAACTATTTGAATGAAGCTTTTTGAGATGTAGAGTGAGTTAATTAGTTATTTTATGGAGCATATTTTTGTATGAATTGAGTAGAACTGAACCAACACCATTTTTCGACTCAAAATATGCAGTAATAGCCCTCATACTGCGGGTTGTCACGCAGTAGAAATATGGTGACAATTGCTGCAAAATCAGTCATTAATGGCATATGACTTGAATCTAATATGTTGTTTTACCTTTCTTAAAATATTAGTACATTTTTCTCATGTTTGATTTTCTTGAAAATTTTCCAATCAGCTGGAGGCATGCAGCTTCAGTAAAGGTTGTGCATTCCAATTAAGTTTTGATATGTTTCAGTACTTTTAAATAAAATCTGACTACTAAAATTAATAGTCAGAAGTATTGTGTCAGAAAAAATACATCATTCATTTAACCTGAATAAAATAGATTATCAATCAACACTGCAAAAACTTCAAATAAAATTTAAAAATAAAAGGAATTTGTAAGAAAAAAATAATTATTTATCTGCATTGGGAAGGTATTCATGAAGTATTTAACAGTTTTAAATAATCATACATAGATTAACCCTTACCACATTTAATATCTTAAATGGACTTGTCCATCTTTCAGTCTGGATAAAATAATTTATTATTTTGAGGAATATTTTCAGAAAATGTACTGTACTGGTTGAATAGCGAACAGTTCCAAACATGATCAAATAGCATGGATTGTGCCGGCTGGTTGCATGGGTACAAATCTGTTGCTGTTGGCAGACTTAGGTATAAAAAACAAATGTTTGGATTATAATATTCAAAGAAGATTTCCCTGAAATCAGTTTCAGGTGACATTCAGTCCATTATCACCAGAATCTAGTTTACAAGAGAAGATTAGTGTATTATTTATGACCCAAAAGAAATCCTTTTAAATAACCTTGACAGTAGAAATTTGATTTAAATCAACTAAAAGTATTTGGGGGAAAAAAATCATGATTATGATAATTATGTATTTATCTCAACTTGAATTTCTTTAATGTCAGCAACTAAGAGAGGGATAAACATATATAAAACAACTTGAAAGTTCATTTTAATCAACCCAGTAACCTTTTTGATAATGTGAAGTAAAAAAATGTAACCCTACAAGAAAAAAAAGTGGGAAAATGATGTAATACTCACTTTGATATTGAAGAAAT